TTCGAAGGAAAAATTACTTGATTTTGTTCAACAATGACAGATTTTTACTAAAATTGTTTTATTTCAGCAGGACTATAACTTTATCTTAGTTGAGTTACTTTTTTCCAACATACTGTCCATGTATCAGTGCAAACTACCAGCCTTGTCTGAAGAAAGGGAACAGACTTATTAACCAAGCTGTTTTAAAATGTTAAATTTTGCAAGTTATTTGGATCATAGATTTTGAATTTTATTAGGAAATATATCATACATGCATATACAATATTATATCATACATGCATATACAATATCCATATTATTGAGAGAGTTTTCACACGACTTTGGGTAAATTTATACCATAATTATCGTAGGCATATGTATGATGGTTACAAATGAGAATTTAAATTTAGCTTGATTTCCAGGGATCTTAGAACACTTTCCACGGGTTCCTTTAAGATTTTCATTTTAGAATCTGAGGCAAGACACCAATCATCCAGGTTCTGAAGTTACCAGAGAGAAAGCGGAGCTTCTTGATATGGTTGTTTGTACAAGATGTGTCCGTTAATTCAGATCAAACTTTCAGCACTTTGAAATGCTCAATGTTGATCCCTGCAATCTGAGACTTTGGTACCTCAAAATTGGAGTATTATTGATGATTGACTCCTTGCCTTAAAATTTGCGAACGAAACCTGCACAGACTCATTCTTGTTATTGCAATAAAGGGAACTGTATTTGTATTTTATTGATTGCTTCTTGTGGCCTTCCTTACTGTCTTCTTCAATTACTCAAATCTTTAAACGATATCATGCCTCAGGAATGTAATTGACTGCCAATGTGTCGAAACTTTAAAAATTGATGAACAATTATTATGTAAGAAAGAATTATATTTATTCAAATTACTGCAATGTGAAGCACATTAAAACTTACAACCATTAATTTAGCACTTCCATTCTTCTTACTATTTATTTAACGTTTTTCTTATATACATTCTTCATAGAATTTATTTAGATTAGAAAGGAATACTTAAAAGCTTAATGTTGCCTTGGTGATGTATATTTAAGATTTCCATTTTTTATTATTTTCATGTTTTCTGGTAGATTAATTAAACCAATATATCATGTACATAAGCAGTCCTAAACTAGATGAGATCTAGCACAAGTCAAAGAGCAGACTTTATTATTTTCTATGGTGAAAATCATTTCCATGTCATTGTACAACTACAATACAACATGGCCTCATTCTGAGCACAAAATAGCAAATAAATGCACATGAAATCTCAAACAAATAAAAAGACAACAGCAAAGTGTCCAACAAGAATCAGAAGATACACAGAAAGAAAAAGCAGGTAAAGAAATCCCCTGCAATGACTGTCTGCTTAAGTTTGCCACTTTGTGAGCAGAATCATTCTTCATAGTATAAGATGATGAAAATGTCCATATCGCTTATAACACGATAGTACAAGTAGACACAAAAAGTGAGCATCAACAAGTAGAACTGGTTCTTCCCTAATAGTCTATTCCCAGAATCAAAGCTAAATATAATATAAGCCAAGAGAAGGTACAAACTTACAGCTCTCTCTGTTGTCCCCGGAGGACCATCAAGTATCTTGATACGAGCTCTGGTCTCCTCAACTATTTTTTTAATGAACTCCCCTTTTCGTCCAATTATACTACCAACCTTCTGTGCAGGAACCAACATCCGGAAAACACTCTCTCCAGGCCATCCAGGCCACTTCTTTTCACCACCTCCAACCACTGCCTTATCTTCATGCTCATGTTTTGGTTGATGTGGCGATTCCTGCTGCAAGTTCTGCTCCTCCAAGTTGTCTTCCGGATTTTCCTCCAAGTTCAAGTTCTGCCCAAAGTCCAAGTTCTGCTCCAAGTTCACATTCTGCTCCAGGTTCAAGTCATACTCCAGGTTTGGATTCTGCTCCAAGTTCTCAGGTTCTTGTGCCTGTTCCTCCTCATGTTCAACAAAGCTTTGATCAACTTCAGCCATATGCATATTGCTGCAGAGAATTAAAAAGGAAAGAAAACAAGAACACATGAAAAATAGTACAATGTAAAACATTTGTTCCAATCTGACTGTTTCTAAAGGTCAATAATAGCACATTGATAATAGCAAATATTTGTGCCAACCTACCATCCCTCAAAACACACACACACAAGTGATAAGCCAACAATATTGATTCTACAAAAGAAAAGAAAACAAACAAAAAACCCCAACTTAACCCAGCAACAGCAAGTAATTGAACTCCAAAAATGCATATAAATAAAATAAAAAAGAACCCACTAATCGGAAAACCTTTAAACACTCAAATCACAGGAGGAAATGAAAAACTATTTAAAAAACCCTAACTTGACCCAGAGAGCAATTCAACTCCAAAAAATTGCATATAATTACAAAAAAAAAAAAAAAGAGAGAGAGAGAGCCTTGAAAAACTCATGAGTAATTCATGAGTTATCCTTTAAAAACTCGAATCAGAAAGAAAAATAAAAGCTTGTAAATAAAATGAACTACAACATAAAACCCTAAAAGCATAGAAATTGATTGAATTTGGAGACTCACATGAGATAAAGAGAGAAGATAAGAGGAGGAAAAAGATGGGTTATTGAAAAATTTTCAAGAAGAGGCAGAGATGGTAAACAAAAGCTGGCTTTTGGCGAGAGAAATGAGACCGGAAAGTTTGTGAAATTATCTTGATTGAGAGAATTTGGGGTATTTCAAAGTTGAGAGCCTTAGAGAAAGTTGAATTTGCATTTTTCACCCCGGGTAAAAACAACCCTGTAATTTGGGCTTCAGTTTTTTGTTTTTGGGCTGAGGCATTCTTCTTTGGTAATAAATTTTTGGGCTTTTCTGTCTTTGGCAAGATGGGTTTTTTATTTTTATTTTTACATTTTGGCTGCAATTTTAATGTTTTTAACAGTCACAGATTGGGATATGGGAAAGGCTGTGATTTAAATATCATATGTGTTGGATGTGATGAACCAAGTTAAAACTCTGGATTCAGCTGCCATTGCATTATTAAAAAAAAAGGATGGAGTTGAGTTGAGTTTCATCCTCACCTCCTTTTAGGAAAAACCTGAGGCAACGCTTTGAGGGAAAAAATCAGAAACAAGCATAATTCTTAAGCCTGTTGCCGTTTTTGTCTTTTTAATTTTAATTAAGTTTGCAATGTCAGAAACATGCCTGGAATTCATGTTAACCAAAGGCTGCAATTTTGATATCAATAAACAAAGCCCAAAGGCCATCCATTAATTTCCATGATATGTTGAAGAGTTGAAGCATAAAGACAAAGAGATAGAATCTGCATTAATCCATTGGCATGAAGTGAACTGACATGTTGCAGCTAGCCTCATTACAGATTTACAATTTACTCGAAACCAAACATATCAAACACCAATTTTTACAATGGTAGGATCATAACCGCTGCATAATTTTCATATGAAAATGGGGATGTACCATGTATACATCTTTTCCTGCTTACTTGTGCAGCTGCATAATTTCATATGTTTGAATTCTCAAAAAATGATCATTAAATTTAGCATAAGCTTTCAATTTACCTAGGTATAAGCCGAAGAATGCGGCTTCACAAATTCCTCATAAGTATCATTCCTATTTGAGCATCATATCAGATCTCGCTATATGCTCTGAACCATCATTGTAGGTGCATATAACTTATGCAAGAAATCAAGAGCTTGACAATATCTAGATTAATTGCACACTAGACTTTTCTTCAATAACCAAAAACTCGATTCAGGGAAAGATTATCTGATTATGATTATTTATTGTGGATACCATTCAATGAGAAATATTCCCTTAAAAACTGCCTAAAAGAGAAAGATTAAACTATGTCGATAGCATTCAATGCAAGCAATGCAAATCTTCTTTTGTCCTAGTAACTTCGGATTTAAGTACTTAAAGGAAACATGATACCCTGACCGGTTGTCTATGACTGAAATAAACATGATTTATTTGTTTGATGATAATGACTATGCAACGTAGCACGATTAAAAATGGCACACCATAACTTGAAATTATGATGCAGGCATACCAAACGAACTCCTCAAAATCTATTGGTTACGGTACTCTGGAATCGGATAGATAGACTGACAGAAGGGGAAATTCTTATCAGAACCTTAAGCAGGTTGCCAATGGTAACCAGGCAATTCGGAAGACTAAATCCAGTCAGTACCTTATTGTAACCTCATGAATACCGGATTCACCTTATCAAATTCATTGTCAGACCCATATTAGAAAATTGTGGACAAAAGCCAAGCCTGGTTTCACAAGCCACATCAAGTTTTTGGTTCCTCTCATTTTCCTGGTATCATGAAACTGCTTGACTCAATAACAGGACACTCAACATACCAGGACATGACCGTATTAAAGATAAGTTGAATTCCTTGTATTTACACAAACAGAGAGAACTATATCTAAAGCATCTCCTACCCAAAGAAGCAAAATTACATTAGCAATGAATATGTGAGCTTGTTAATCTATTTTAAACAACAAGGCCTCATAAATTCAATTAAATCATTTATGGCAATGACAGAAAACAAGAACATCAATATTACTTTGTTGGAATCATGTTGAGGAAGATCAGCCTCTTTGAATTAGGCCTCAGTAAATCAAGCAGACTAATGGCAGAGTAAGTAGTTACTACAGTTTCTTCCTCAATTAAGCATTCAATCATCCATTTTTGTGTAGCTACATTGAAAAAACAAATTCAAAAAGGAACAGTGTAATAACAGAGATGACTCCTCCGCACTCCCTTAGAGAGTAGAGAGAAGCATACAACTGTAACTGCCCATTGTTATGTCATTCTATAAGGCGGTCTCTCTACTCTATTAACTAATTAACAAAGGATTCATGTTTGAATGAATACCTATCTATACTCCTGCTAGGAAGCATTATCAAGGTAGACATATAACAAAGAATCTGAACTTAGAACTACAACAATGAGTATCAATAGTGCTTCACACTGTTGTCATTCCTTGTCTTTGGAAGTAGTCTCTGGTGACATATTGGTCGCATTCATCAGTGAGTCGAACTTTTCAGACTTCCTCAACACAATTTCAATCTGAAAAAGTAAGCAAGGAAAAGTAGAAACAAGACAAAGAAGGAGATCAGAAGGAAGGTACATTAAGTTACCACATCCAGAAGCAAACTATATGTATGGTAAGAATCTAAACCCACCTTGGCCTTTTGGACAACACGTCCTTTGTTCTCGTCCTTCATGCCAACTGTAGATGTCAAAACTTCTGCTTTGTCCCACAAACAAATCAGCATCAAAGTATTCATTCTCATCAAGGATGGAAACCTTTTTTGCGTTAAGAGATGGAGATTCTTACTCTTCTCAATAGCCAGTCCATTATTCTTCAAGATCTCAGCAATTGTGACAACAGTAGTGATTGCTGCAGTAAAAGTTTGAGAAAAATTTTCAGGATGCATTATGGCAATGAATCATTTCAAAACCGATGGACATTGAAGCACCTCAAACAGGTCAAAAGTACCAAAGAACAAAGGGAAAAGAAAAGACTCCTTGTGCTCATAATTTGAGTTGCTTTTCAAGCAGGTACAAAAGTTTATGAAATCAATCATTTGCTATTGGAAAGTTAATGCAAAGACTGAGATAAAGGGTTCATAGTTCACATTTCAAAACAACAAAAATATGAAAGAAGGATTCAGAGAAATGTACCCATGCCCAAGGCAGAAAGCTCAACCTCATCATGCTGTTGAATGTATCTCTGCATCAAAAGAAATCAAAATTAAAACATGTAGCTAGCTTGAATGTTATCATGCATACAGATTGAGTTATAGACAAACTTATGCAAAGATAGAACCGAAAAAAATTGCAAATTAAGAAAATTTATTTGACTTGTGACGAAATTTTATGATTGTTATGTCATCTAGAAAGGATAAGACTCGTCTTTGAACCACCTTGCAATCATGCTATAGTCCCACAGCGATGAGAAAGTGCTGATGACATAAAACTTCACATTTAATATCTTGGGAGTAATGGAAATTTTCAAAATGTGCATCCAGTTAAATCTCATTATCTTATTATCTTTGAAGGTACATCAGATCTATAGCCACAGATGCATTGCAAACATTTAAAAGGATGAAAATATCAAAATAATGCTGTTGAAAGTAAACTAAAAAAGGAGAATCAATTTCAAAATTTTTATTAAAAAAAAGGGAAAAATACATTGTAACGGCAATTCATTGTGAAATTGTACAGTTAAGAAGATCAAATGACACAATAAAGAAGATCCAAATCCACAAACAAAAGAAGCAAAACCAAGATCACTCCAAAACATCATTTTGCATGAAACCTATCAAATAAAAACAAAATCCCATACTTTGGCAAGATTAACGTAGAAAAACAAAGGCTTTTTGGTGTTAGACACTTGAATTCTGTTCTTCTTTCGTGCCTCTCCTTCTCCAGCAGCAGCCACTGCCTCCACAGCCATTTCTGACTATCCCTCTCTCTTTCTTTGTTTAATGCTTCTCAAATTCTTTACTTTCTTTTCACTTCTTGGCGTTTTTATATATTTTTCTCTTTCACTTTCTCACATTTTCCTCTTCTCTTTACGTTCTGTTATGTAGCGGGAAATTTGGGGGGCAGAAAATACCGTTATAGAATGGTGGTTATATAAGGGAGCAGATGGACCAATGAGCATCGAACGCGTGGTGAGATTTTATTGGTTGTAGACTCAGTAAGAGATAAAAACGGATTTTTTAATGAAAAAAAAAAAAACGTATATTTATTTACGGATTAAAATGACCGTTATGTCTCGAACTTGGGTTTGATTTATGGGCCATGACATGTTTCCAAAAATGGGCTTTTAAAAGATAAGAAAATGGTCTTTAAATGATGGGTCATGTCCTACCAATGAAATTATAATAAAGAGGTTTATCATTTATATTTGAAACACTAAATTTAATTTAATTCGTTTATATAATTATTTAATAAAAATTTATCAATGATGTACCAAATCTAATTCAAACTCTAATTCGAGTGAGGTGTGAAACTCATTGAACTTATGGCTTTGCTTCATATTCCATGAGTTTGTACTTTGTAGCTTTTGATGTGATATAGCGATTATGGAAATTCAAGTTTAACTTGACTCCTTGCGTTGTCTTTCCAATTGTATCAACTAAAATTTGGCTCCATCCTAAGCAACGTTAAGGGGGAAATAGATTGCTTTAAAATTAATCCCAAATTAAATGCATATGTGAATAATATTTTTATTTTTTAAATTACGATTAAAGCTTGAATTTGAAAATCGAAACGTTCGATCTTAGTAACAGTGAATTAATATCTTATTGATAACATGGAACTATTTTTTCCAATTAAACAAAACAATAATTGGTAAAGAAATTAAAATATTAAAGCCAAACATGAGAATGCCAAATCTACAAGTAAAAATGTATGCAAAGTCTTAATCATAGACTTCTATATGTAACAAATCAATTGAGGTTCACTAAACAAAATTGAGGGAAGTGATCAAGTTAATATGAAATTGGCTTTCTCTTTTTAATTTGTTAAACAAATTGGATTTTGTTTTCCCCACAAAAGATCACGAAAGCATGCAAAAATTTGTCGGTGATTTTGAAATGGACATTGCTTAAGAATATAATCTGTGGTCTGATAGCTTGAATCCAAAAGCAAAAGAATTGGGTCAAACCGTATCTTGTGAATAGTCATTTTCCCATCAACAGCCATGGAAAAGAAGGAAAAAGTTTCTTCTATAGAAGCAACAAAAACGCGTTGGGGACACCAAATGTTGCATTAATAGAATTTTTTTTTTTTTTTTTTTGGATTTGGGACTCAAAATATTAAAATATTTGTCGGCATTAACGCAAAAACTCAGCTTCCTTTGAATTGTAAGTTCATCAATTATTTCTACTCAATCTCTGAGTTGGATATTCAATGGAGGTAAGGCCTCTTCCATTGTTTCACAAACCCTAATTACTACTATTCACATTGCAAAAACACAAATTAAGGTTTTCAAATAAACATTTTAATTGTAAGTAATGCTTTAAATTCATCAAGTTCAAATTTAGAGATTTAGAGAATGACTTCGCTCTTCATAATTCAATAGGATTTAAGGCACACATGTATAAAAAAAATGGATAAAACCCGAATTAAGATATTATTATTTGTTTGGTACTTACGGATGAATTTTGAAACAATTGAGATCTGTCTTCTGTCATCTTGTAAATTTTCTCTTGTTCATCTCAAATTTAAATTTTAAAACCTCCAAAATAAAATTTTGAATTTTAATCATTAGATCGAAGTATAAGTTATTAGTTACACTAATTATGACAAAACCAAAGAGTATTTTAGTCAACTTGAATGATATTCACCTGCCTTTTTTTTTTTTTTGGTGACTCAGATCTTCTGTTCAAACTAACATGTCATTATATTTGGAACTTGAGTACTCAACTAAATTTTCCCAACCTTCGCAATGATTTTCAGGCAAATTTCTGATTTTAATCATTCAAACATTTCCATGATGATGTGAAACCTTAACCAAGAAGTGCTACACTAATATCTGATTTGAAATCACCTACATTGGAACCTTTAGCATTTAAATCCAGGTTTTTCAGCTTGGTATAAGTCAGCTTCAATTCCTTTTGGTAACTGTAAAGTAACTTTCAAGTAAAAATGACTTTAATATTACAAGCTTCAGATTCATAATTAAATTGGTGTTGGGTACTCGTATATATGCTGCAATATCAAATTGATCCTTGGCCACAAAGCTAAAAAAATTTTGACATGGCTGTGCTTCTGCTCCAAGTTTCACTTCTTGTTGTAGTCTTCTATTGCTTATTTGTGTCCCATGGTTCACGAATTATATCGGCTGTGATTATACAATCATAACATTGCATGGGTTTTGCTTACATGTAAAACCAAAATTTTTATCATAATTAAACACATTAAACCTAAAGCCGAATAATAAATTTGTTCAATCGTGATACTAAACGACTTTAAAATCCTTAATTTTCGTGTTAAACATTGATTTAGATTGCATAATTACATACTTATTTGAAATTATAAGCAATACTATTATTCCTATTACCCATAAGATTTAATGTATATAAAAAAGTAGGGTACATTGTATTAGATCATAAAACCTATATGATCACTTGCAAATAAGATCAGATTGATTGGTTAAGATTTGACTTGTACGAGAAAATTAGGAACTATTAGGTAAAATGTTTTTTCCTCTACAATCCCTACAGTCGTCATATTGCCAACGATTGGGCAGATTCTTCCTTTTCTCTTTTCTTGCAATAGCTTTGAGAAATGTTTGTTATATTATTAGGTAAAATGCTTTTTCATGGCAGCTCAATTTTGTATTATTAGTTCCAAATCAAGTTTCATTTACGACTATTCGTTAGCGTAAATCCTAAATGCATGTCGTAATCTGAAAATTAACAATTTATTTATCTCGAATTTTGTATAAAAAATATATTTTATTTAATAATATTAAAATATGATACGATAGTTTTTTTTTCTTTTCTCCTTGTCATGAGTAAAGAGAGAATCTCTTATTGGAAATGATTAGGACAAAATTTGATGAAGCTTCCTAGCCAAGTGCAATTGTTGTTCCTTCAATTTGATCAAATCAAATTAGCTAAGAGGTCACTAATCATCCTATAAGAGGTTAATTTATTAAACTTCATAAAACCTTGATGTGATCTACTTAATTATGATTGATATTAAAGTTACCTATCTTAATTAATTAAATTATCACTAAAATCAACAAGAATCTTCATCATTAAATATTAGTGAACCAAACTATGTGTTTGGTCCAAAATTAATTAAGTCGGTGATTAAGATTAAATAATTAATGATGGTCTATCAATAACTCTTTTTTTTCAAACTTTAATTTTTTTAGTAAAAATAGACAAGAAATATCATTTGCAAAAGAAAATTTTCCTTTATCATTTGTTACTCTCTTGATTGTTTGGGTTCGAATTCGTTGAAACTATCAATAAATAATTTTTCATGAATTTATTAAATTTAGCATAAATAAATTTACTTAAATCGACTTGAAGAAATCTAAGAATTCCCTTATCGTTCATAAAAAAAAATTTACACTAAGCAAAGTCAGTGCTGATGGCTGCCCATAATATTAATTCCTCTAAATTAGGCTTAATTTACAACTTATCCTTTGATTATCTTTTCACTTTGAACCTAATCATACTCCTTTTTTTCTCCTTTTTTGTTTCAATAGTTTTTACATTAAACTTAAATCTTGGCTCCCAACTACTTGGAGGTTAGCTTTGGAGCTTTGTAAATTTAGTCAAGATAAGACACCTTAGACTAAAATATTCATTCGGGAATTAGATTCTCATACTGGTAATTATAATTAATTATTTGTTACAACTTACGAAAGAGCTATGTGTGCTTTGATCTGTGTCCCATCTGGTATAATTATGCTTTGGTTGTAAGTTTAGTTCCTTAATTTCTTTTCTAACATGACAGTGAGACGTGTTAAAGTGCCATGATTCTCGCCATAAATTAATCTTTTAAGTTAGTTGTAATATTTGGTATAATAGTGCTTTGTTGTTATATTAGGCTTTAATCTTGATAAATCAAAAGGATTATTATAACTATGTATTATTATATAAAAACTGTTTGTTTTAGCAAACAATATATAAGAACATATCAAAAGACCATGATTAATATGTGATCAAACTTAAACAATATAAAGTATTTTTATAACTTTTTTTTTAATTTTTATCTTATATATTTAGGTAATTATTTTATAAATATATATTAATATATATTTTTGAAGAAAAATATATTAATTCTAATTAATCTAAAATAATAATTTATACTATTTAATAAAAAAATTATTTACTAACTATATATATAAATATTGATAGAGTACGAGTACAAGATAAGTATTATATTACCCATCTCATTCTCATATGCAATAAAAATTTACAATTATATTATTTTTTATTTTCATATTCATAATATAATATCAATCTTCATCTCCATTCGGATAAAAAATTAAATTACCCATTAAATATAAATATGATTGATATCGTTAGAAGATAACACATTTTTCATTCGCACTATCGTTTCTAAATGACATAAAACCTTTCTTAATTACCGATCGGATTAGAAGATTTTGTATTTCAAAATTTATGATTTACCCATTGTATTTGGATCAAAACTCCAATGATCAAGCGATATAAAATCTTAATTTAGTTAGGTTTGATAGTTTTGAATAAAATGCTAGACTTTTATGAAAATAGCCTCATTTCTAGCAAGCTCGTCAAAATTATTTTCTTTACATATGAAATAATTAGAACTTTTGTTGCTTGTAAATATATTTTGAAATAATGGAATCACAATTCAATCATATTTTTTATATTACTATATAATCTAGTAATCAATGAATATAGATTTATATAATTTATATTCTCTTTTTTTGCATTACTATCATTATCAATAATCAATAGAA